AAGTGCTATGTAGAGCAATAAACTAATGTTAAAGGGAAAGAGAGTTTAGAAGGAGAAGTTACTATTTTAATAGGCAATCAGAAAGGCCTCTAATGTGATTTTTGAGCAGAAACCAGAAGAAGTGATGGTGCAGCTATGTGGATTTCTGGAGAAATAGTATTCCGGGCAGAGGGAAGAACATTTGTAATGTCATCCCTAAACCTGGAAGCTTGCTCAGTATAGTCAAGGAAAGTAAGGAGGCCAATGTAACTGAAGTAGATTGGGTGAGAAGGAGAATTTTAAAAAGGCAAGGTGGAGTGTGGCCAGGGGCTAGATCATATAAAGTCTTACAGACTTCTGGAAAAACTTTTACCTGTACTCTGAAGGAGAGAGAAAGTCACTAAAGCTTTTAAGCAAAGGAGTGATATGATCTCACGTTTTGAAGGACCACTCTGATTATCCTGTTGCAGGTAGCCTTTGGTCTTGTATGCATTGATTTGAAATGCCAATGAGTTGGTGAAGTAGAGTTGTTAGTTAGGGTCATTGGATATATGAGTCTGGAATCGATGGGGATAATTCCAGGCTGCAGATTTTGGAGTCATGAGCTTACAGGTGGCAATTAAATCCATAATTTTGGAACACAAGGGGAAAAAACAGGTAAAAAAAAAAAAAGTACTTCAATTTGTAGTCCCTCTACTTATGGTCAAGTAATAAAGGGCCTAAGAATTTACCATAGGATTTAGCAATATGGAGGTTCTTGGTGACCTTGGTAAGGGCTACTTTAGTGAAGCGATTGGAGTGGGTTGAAGAAAACAATGGAAGAAAGGAAAATGGAGTCAGTATAGACAACTGAAAATTGTCAGAGTTTTACTGTAATGGTGGGCAAAGAAATTAATAGCTAGGAGGGGAGGATGTAGGAATCGAGAGATTAAAAAAAAAGTATCATTACATATGAGCATCTGATAGAAGTTAGGAAAAAATTAATGCCAGAAAGGGGAGGGGAGAGTTTGCTGGAGTGATGTCCGTCAGTAGCCAGAGGGCTTGGGATAGAATGCACACGTGGAGGGGTTGGCTTCAAGAGCATAGATATAGATAGTTCAGCCATAGCTACAGAAAGGAAGGCAACGCATGTGAGTATAGATTCGGGTAGGTTGTTTTATGTGGTGGTAGAAGCTTGTGGAAATTCTTTTGTTCCTCTTTCTCAGTGAAATAAGAAGGAAGTTCATTTGCTGTGAGTTGGAAGTAGAGAAGAAGATACGAGAGATTTGAGTGGAAGGAGGATCAGGAGAGGGAATGGGCTAATGAACTGTACTCAGGAGTATTAAGGGCCTCCGTGAGATTAACATGCCAAGCCTTCACATTTGACAGGCTGACTATAAGGAATCTCATCACACACGAGGAGATGACAATGTCCCTGTCACCATTATTAAATTGATAATGTTCTGGAGGCGTGAGTAGATATTATTAGAGAAGAGAAAGAAGCGAGAGGTATAAAAATTCAAAAAGGCAAAGTTAATCTTACAGATTACCTGATTATATTCCTAGAAGACCTAAGAGAAGCAACATAACTCTTAAAACAAGAAGTAAATTCAGCAAAGTGTCTGGATACAAAATTAATATCAAACAAAATCAGTAGACTTCTATATGCAAATAGCAATCCATCAGAAAATATACTGGAGGAAGATAAACCATTTAGGAAACGATTCCTAGGAGTAAACTTCACTAGAAATGTATAATCTTTTTTCTTTGTGAAGTGCTTGTGAGGTATGAGGCTCTGAGATTGGAAGGCTCATATTATAAAGACATCAATTCTACTTTAATCTTTAAATTTTAACACATTCCTTCTTAGAAAGAAAATACTAAGAGATAGAGGTGGGATGTTGGGACTTGGACAAATTGATAAATAGAAAATTAAAAATTTTAACAGGGATATTCTGAAAAATTGAAATTATGAGGAACAATCCTGCCAAATATTAAAATTATAAAATTAGAATGAACTTGAAATAGTATGGTCTGGTATATGAGTAGAAACTCAGGTGATAGGGTTTAGAGATAGACCTAAACACATATGGCAGTTTACATCAATGGCATTTTCATCTTAGTGGAGGAAGGACAAATGGGTACCTTTGTCAGTAGTATATATAAAGTTGGTTTCCTACCTTCTGCCTCATGCTAAAATAAATTTCAAGTGAATTAAAGATCTTATTAAATGAAACTATAAAAGTAGAAAAGAGAGTATGAAAAGAAATACAGTACCCTTGGAGTTGACAGGGCCTTTCTAATAAAGATAACAAAATCCAGAAACTTACCTGTGGTACAGTGTTAACTAGATTCATTGTAGTAATGTTGTCACAGTATATACAAATATAGAATCATTGTATGCATGAAATTAACAGAGAGGTCAATTACACTCATAAAAGACAATTTGGAAACTATACGTTGAAGTGCAGTTTTCATCATTCCTTCATTTTGCTTCAGAATAACATTGCTATGGCCTTGGAGGTTACTTACCGGGAACGGCTGCATAGAGTATACAAGGAGGTCAAGAATCGCCTGGACTATCATATCTCTGTGCAGAATATGATGCGTCGGAAGGAACAAGAGCACATGGTGCAATGGGTGGAGAAGCATGTGGTACAGAGCATCTCTGCACAGCAGGTACATGGTGTTTGAAGCTTCTGGACTTGGAGTGGTATCTCTGACAGGTGTCCACTGGTGGCCCAGCCAGGATCAGAACAGCCGGCCAGGAGTTTTTAGAGACAATCTCTAGTTGGTTTTTCTGAATGGTGGAACCTAGAAAATGCTGCACAGCTACCTGGGTGGCTTCCTCCTCCAGAGTTTGGTTAAAGGCCTCTTATCTCAGGTCAGAACAATAGAAAGATTGTTCAGAACACTGGTTGTTGCAGACTGATCAAGTTCATCATTTGGGAAACATTAACCAACACATTTAATTTCTCTCTAAAACATAGAGACTAGACAAGGTTATTTCTGAGCCCCTTCCATTTCCTAATTTAATGATTTTCATTCCATTTCCTCTTTCCCAACACCTGATTTATTGGTCTTGAACAGAAATTTTTTCTATTTACCTAAACTTGATTTCCTTTGTAAAAATTATGTTCTTTATGTACTTTTGACATGATTTCTTCTTTCCCAGATATGTAGTGTTATATTAATGAATTGTTTTTTTAATAAACTATCTTTTATGTAAAAAAAAATACTTATTTTAAAAAGTTGGAAAATGTAAAAAAGTGCAGAAAATAAAAGAACAGTTATTTTCATTCTTAATAATTTTGTATTGCTAATCTTAGTTTGCTCTCTTTCAAGCAGCTAGTAGCTGTACAGCTCACACCGATGGCATGTGGTTACAGGCGTAACTGGCTTCAAACTTTACATAGATTTCATTTATAAAAGCTGAGCCAGGGGATTTTAATCCCTGAATTTTCTTAAAATAAATTGCTTCTTCCCCGTGTAAATAAGTAAATAATTCCTAATAGTTTATTATATTTAAAGTCAGTAATACAACTAAAGATTGTGTAAGAATCTCAAGGTTTTGTAGGAGATAAGAATTGCATGTTTATATCCTTCCGTGATTTGGAAAGATCTAACCAGATTTCTCTTTTCTTATCACAGGAAAAGGAGACAATTGCCAAGTGCATTTCAGATCTAAAGCTGCTTGCAAAGAAGGCTCAAGCACAGCCAGTTATGTAATGCATCTATCCAGACTGAGACAGCTAGAAACATTTGAGGGACGGACTGGAAACTAGGCTGTGACAAAAGCTTTCTGTACCGCCATCTGCTGGAGTTACAGTTACCCCACTTAAAATGAAAAGCGTGAGTTTCATCTAGTGAGAGAATTAAAACAGTCTATTGGCCAGTGAGGTGTTTATTGTCCTTCTTGCTCTGATTTTGAGTTCTTCTATGATCACTTTTGAATAAGCAGTTTCCTCTTAATACAATTTGGTACCTGACTAAAGACTACCAAGTTATAATTTAAATTTGTAATTAATGCTATCATCTTACAATAAAGTGACAGTTGAAACAAGGTTTTTTCAAATTGTGTAATCTTCTGAAATACTATTTCAACATTTGCCATATGGGTAAAAATTAAAGATGTCATTGAAATGATAATCTTGCTTATAAGACCATTGTTATTGGTAAGCTGCTTCTGGCTGACAGGTTATGGACAATTTAAAGGTTCTTAAAATAACGAAAGGGAATATTGTACATCAAGTCATTCCATTTACTTTGTTATAATTTTAGTAATATATCAGTGGAAAATATTATGGACTCAATGTGTCATAAAATTGCTCTTAAGAATCCAGCAGATAGCCCTAGCAGGTTTGGCTCAGTGGATGAAGCGTTGGCCTGTGGACCAAAGGATCCCGGGTTCAATTCCGGTCAAGGGCACATACCCGTTGGTTGCAGACTTCTCCCGGGCCCGGGCCGTGGTTAGGGTTCATGCAGGAGACAACCAATCAATGTGCTTCTCTTACATTGATGTTTCTCTCTCTCTTTCCCTCTCCCTGAAAATCGATGGAAAAATACCCTCGGGTGAGGATTAACAAACAAACAAAAAAAGAATCCAGCAGATAAATCAGAAAGTTCTGCCCTTCCATAGGTTTGTCTGCATTTAATTCTTTCATGTTTACATAAAGTTTTACTTGTACACAATGGGCAACTTACATAATAGGAAATATTTGAAAATAATGTATCATGGGTAATTGCTATTTTCTTGACTTCCTATGATTTTAACTTATGTAAAATTGTTAGGATCAATATTGATGGCCAATATATTCATTTACTCTAGAAATCAGATTGATATAAGGGATTAGACTCGATGCTGTTGGTGAGCTGGTTAAAGCAGTCTCTTATCTTTGTTTCTAATGCAGGATCTTGAAGTTCACAGAACAGGCAGTTAAGAAGGGAAGATGGATATCAAGTGGGAGAGGGTAGGAAAGTGTGGAAATCACAAGTATACACTGAAACCATCAGTTTTATTACCTCTGACCTTGATGGTAAGATTGTCCTACAAAACCCCAGGCCCTTCATCACACAGACGTAGTCCAAAGGTTGGAGAAGCTGAAGGATGATCCAGGGAAAGATTGGGAAGTTGCAGGCCCGGCTGCAATGAACTGGTGAACCAACAGATGACAACATGTATGGGCTACAAAACAGACACCTCACTTCCGCCCTCTCAACTTGCTCAAGAATCTCTTGCGGCTCACTCTTACTAGAATATTCAAGAAAGAGAATTTTAGAAAGTATAGTTCAGTCTAACCAAATCGACATGTTATGAACCATTACAACTATCGTGTCAAATGTTAACCTGAATGAGTAAAACTTAAAGCAAAAATTCTAGTCCTAAGAAGTCAATGAAAGCATTTAGTAAAACATGGAGAACAGAAAAGCAACAGGTTGGAAAAGAAATGTCTAGGCTGGCATTGAAATTAAGTTAGGATTGGAATCCAGCGAGGTGGCACAGCAGCTGATTGTAGAGAAGCCACTGGAGGAGAGTAACATTTTTTCAACTCAATAAGTTAGGAGTGAAACATAAATAGGAATTATGTTTGAGTGCCTAAATTCTATGCTTAGAAGTTAGATTTTGTTCTGAGGATAGGGAAGCCAATGAAAAAAGTCTCCAGCAGAGAAATGATGACTAGATTCTTGTTTCAGAACAATCAGTACCAACTAGAGGGCGGTTTGGAAAGAGGATGTTGGCTCATTCTAACTAAAGGACATTGAAGACCTTAACTATAGGCCTTAGCAGTGTGGATGGAAAGAAAGGAATTAGTGAGAAATGCTAGAGGCAACATTAGTAGGACTTGAGCAGGGAGACTGACTATGGGAGAAGGAATGAATTAAGTTGAGTCACCGTTTACTTGTTTGAGAGAAGAAAAGGAGGCACTGTTTACTGTGATTTGGAATATAGGAGGACGTCTGTTTCAGAAAAGAAAATAGGGCTAAGTATGGAGCCACGAAAGAACATGTGTTAGAGGAAATGCAGAGAAAGAGGATCCTGCAAAAGAGGGAGTCATTGGAGGAAAACCAGGAGAGGGTAGGGCCATGAAGTCAACGGACTGGAGAGTTTCACACAGGAAGAGCCAGTTTCTCCAGGAGGTTAAGAGGATTGAAAGTGCCCAGAGCCCAGCCGCCGGCGTTGCTCAGTGGTTAAGCATCGACCTATGAACCTGGAGATTGCAGTTTGATTCTGGTCAGGGCACGTGCCTGGGTTGCAGGCTAGATTCCCAGTATGGGACGTGCAGGATGCAGCCGATCAATGATTCTTTCTCATCATTGATGTTTCAGTCTCTCTCCCTTCCTCTCTGAAATCATTGCCCACGGAGGTAATAGCTTGGAGTCTTTGGTGGCCCTCCTTAGAGTAGCTTTGGTTGAATGGCAGGGACAGAAGATAGGTTGTAGTGGTGGAGGATTAGAAGGCAGTGGGGAAATAGATCTATGTAGCATAATTTCCAGAGCACTACTCACCCCAGTAGACGGTAACTAGAGGGAGCCACAGGTGGGCTCAGAGGAATGTTGGAAGCTGAGACAGGCTGGAACAAATAATAGCTGTGAAGAAAAGGCCATAGAAGGAAAGACGAAAAGATTGCAGAGGGATGATAGAAGTCAAGTCCCTGAGTGGGAAGCGATACTCAGGTGACAAGTGGAGGAATTGGCCTTCAACAGAAGGTGAACTTTTTCCACTGAAACTAGCAAGGTAAGGCTGGACCTTGAAAGAATGAAGCTTTTTAGTGAGGAAACTCATTCAGCAGTGATTTAGGAAAAGCCCACAGTGTCAGGCACTGCTCAGAACTAGGGTTAGTAGGACAAGTACAGCTTGTGTCCACTGACCTTACAGTGTAGACAATGAACAATATGTGTTCCTAATGTTAAAGCTGGGGCGGGGGAGGGGGGTGTGTGAAAGGAGCTCCATAAGAACTTACTGTGGTGTAGGAGATCGTGAAAGGCCGCCTGAGGGATCATCCCCGTTTCTCGTGTGGAATCTGCAGCACTAAAGGATCCACTAACTGGCCCTCACCAGTCCTACCTCTTGCCTGAGCCCACATGTGATATTGTTACTCCTCGTCAGCAGTCTCTCCATTGCCTTTAAGGTCAAGTTTGTTTAGGCTCCTCCCTCACGTAGTCTTGCCCTCCAGCCTTTCTTTCCTCTCCCATTCCCCATCCCCACCCCACCCTCATACCCCACAGCATCCATGATGGGGGAATATTTGTATTTCCCGGAACGTGACAAAGCATGCCTTTGCTCAGGCTGTTGCTCTGCCTAGAATGCGCTTCCTCCTAGAAAATGTGACTCCTCTTTCAAGATGCAGTTCGAACATCATCTCCACAATGCTTTTCTTAACACCCACTCTCCCTCCTCACTGGGTAACCTGAGCCCTTTCTCTTTGCGATTCCACTTCACACTGTAGAGATGCCCAACATTGCATCTAAAGCACTCATGACGCTTACGTACTCCAGAACATAGCACTGTGTTTGGGGTGTAGTAAGTGCTCAGCAAATGTCTGGTTAATTCATGAATCCTCTAAATGCTGAGTTGCTGCTGTCTCCTCTTCTGGCTCCTCTTCCTCCTCCTGCCCTTTGGTGACATCTTTGATCACAATCATTGATGTTATCTTCCTCTCCTAAATGCCTCTCAGATGAATTTATATCGCTTCATCGCTCTACTGCTGGTCCAAGCTATTATTATCCCTCAACTGGGTCATGGCAGTAACCTCTCAGCTGGGCTTTCCTATCTGTTCTGACTGCTTTCCAATCGGCTCTCCTTTTTTTTCAGGGGTTCTTTCAGACAGCAGGTTTGATTGTGTCACCCTTGTTTAAATGCCTTTAGTATAGATAAACCCGCTTCTCTTAAAATGAAGACAGAAGCTCTGAGGGAACTGGCTCAGCCTCCCTCTTCAGCTTCATCCCCTCCAGCTCCACATCTCACAGCCTGCATTATGCTTGAAAACCTACCCTCACATACGTTTGTTTGTTGTTTGCTTGGACTTCCTATCCACATTTTTGACACAGGGCTTTTGAATTTTAGGCTCCTCCCTCACGTAGGGAACATTCAGTTCCCTGTGATCTTTTCCCCCCACCCCACCCAGCTCTTGGTCTAGTGAAACTCCAACTCACACCTCAGATTTGGCTTGTGTTTCTCCAGGAAGCCCGCCCTGGTTCCTTGTGTCACAGGCATACACAGCCGGAGGGGCCTTCACAGCCCATGGGATTGCTACCATTCCTCTGGTCACAGCCTCCTAGTCTGAGAGTTCCATGAAGGCAGGAAAGGCCATTTTCTCACCACGGTATCCTCAGAACTTAGGCTCATACATGGCACAAAATAATTGTTCACTGCGGAGTGGATGAAAAAATGAATTCTCGCCCTAGCCAGTTTGGCTCAGTGGATAGAGCGTCGGCCTGCGGACTCAAGGGTCCCAGGTTCGATTCCGGTCAAGGGCATGTACCTTGGTTGCAGGCACATCCCCAGTGGGGAGTGTGCAGGAGGCAGCTGGTCGATGTTTCTCTCTCATCGATGTTTCTAACTCTCTATCCCTCTCCCTTCCTCTCTCTAAAAAATCAATAAAATATATTTAAAAAAAGAAAAAAGAATTCTCTCAGCCACTGAGATTCAAAAACTTGGCGTAGTCATTGACTCATCCTGCTGTTTCATTCCCAGATCCATGTCCCAAGTCTTAGAACTTCCCATCTTACAGCAGGTTTCCAGTGGGTTCTGCTCGTGCCTTTATTAGGTACCTAAAATACTGCTCAACTCTCCTGGCTTATTTCCTCCTCTCTTCCTCTTCCCACACTTTATCCTGTGTGATGTGGTAGAACCTTCCTTAAAGGCCATGTTTGTTATATCCCAATTCAAAAACGGTTCATGGTTCCTTATTAACACTTAACATTTCTTGCTTGGATTGGAAGACCTCCACAATCTGGCTGAAGTCCATCTTTGGAACTGTTTTTTACTTCCCACCTATTACAGATGCCCCACTTTTAACCCATACTGATATCTCAGAAATCCATCACTGGGCCTGAGGCAGTCCTCACACTGTTTCTCACTCCTCTCTCCATTCAAACCCCACCTGTGCCCCAGGCCCAGCCCCAAGTGTGGGCATATAGCCTAGCGCCCGTGGTCGGCAAACTGCGGTTCACAAGCCACATGCGGCTCTTTGGCCCCTTGAGTGTGGCTCTTCCACAAAACACCACTTGCGGGCTCGCACGTACAGTGCAATTGAAACTTTGTGGCCCATGCGCAGAAGTCGGTTTTCAGCCTGGGAAAGTCTATTTTGAAGAAGTACTGTTGATATTTGGCTCTGTTGACTAATGAGTTTGCCGACCACTGGCCTTAGCCTGACTCCCAGCTCTGTTAGCTCCTCCCTCATTGAGTTGCCCTGCCCTTTGGCCTCCCAGGCCTCGCTGCCTGGCCACATCTGTCCTGTCCTATGGTTCTCACCCTACTTGCCTGCTCCTTGCACAGGCCTTCCGATCACCCATGCTCTCTAAAGACATCCTCTCATTTACTCGCAAGCATGGCATTCTGCTGCTTCACCCATTTAGCACATCTTCCAATCAGATGGTAGCTCCATGAGGAACTTCTCTGCCTTGCTCTCAGAATGACCCACCACACCCAGCCCACTGTACGACCCATCATAATTACTTAGTATATTTTTTTAAATTAAATCTTTATTCAGATTATTACATTTGTTCCTCTTTCCCCCCCCCCCCATAACTCCCCTCCTCCCAGTTCCCACCCCACCCTCTGCCCTCACTCCCCACCCACTGTCCTCATCCATAGGTGCACGATTTTTGTCCAGTCTCTTCCCGCATCTCCCACACCCCTTTCCCCCCCAAGAATAGTCAGTCCATTCCCTTTCTATGTCCCTGATTCTATTATAATCACCAGTTCATTCTGTTCATCAGATTATTTATTCACTTGATTTTTAGATTCACTTGTTGGTAGATGTGTATTTGTTGTTCATAATTTGTATCTTTACCTTTTTCTTCTTCCTCTTCTTAAAGGATACCTTTCAGCATTTCATATAATACTGGTTTGGTGGTGATGAACTCCTTTAGCTTTTCCTTATCTGTGAAGCTCTTTATCTGACCTTCAATTCTGAATGGTAGCTTTGCTGGATAAAGTAATCTTGGTTGTAGGTTCTTGGTATTCATCGCTTTGAATATTTCTTGCCACTCCCTTCTGGCCCACAAAGTTTCTGTTGAGAAATCAGCTGACAGTCGTATGGGTATTCTCTTGTAGGTAACTGACTTTCTTTCTCTTGCTGCTTTTAAGATTCTCTCTCTGGCCGAAACTGGTTTGGCTCAGTGGATAGAGCATCGGCCTGCGGACTGAGAGGTCCCAGGTTCGATTCCGGTCAAGGGCATGTACCTGGGTTGCGGGCACATCCCCAGTAGGAGATGTGCAGGAGGCAGCTGATCAATGTTTCTCTCATCGATGTTTCTGACTCTCTGTCTCTCTCCCTTCCTCTCTGTAGAAATTCAATAAAATATATTTAAAAAAAAAAAAAAGATTCTCTCTCTGTCTTTTGCTCTTGGCATTTTAATTATGATGTGTCTTGGTGTGGTCCTCTTTGGATTCCTTTTGTTTGGGGTTCTCTGTGCTTCCTGGACTTGTAAGTCTATTTCTTTGACCAGGTAGGGGAAGTTTTCTGTCATTATTTCTTCAAATAGGTTTTCAATATCTTGCTCTCTCTCTTCTTCTGGCACCCCTATAATTCGGATGTTGGTACACTTGAAGCTGTCCCAGAGGCTCCTTACACTATCTTCGTATTTTTGGATTCTTTTTTCATTTTGCTTTTCCGGTTGGGTGTTTTTTGCTTCTTCGCATTTCAAATCTTTGACTTGATTCTTGCGATCCTCTGGTCTGCTGTTGGGAGTCTGTATAATATTCTTTATTTCAGTCAGTGTATGCTTAATTTCTAGTTGGTCCTTTATCACAACATCGAGGGTCTCACTAGATTTCTTGAGGATCCCACTACATTTATCGGCGGTTTCTAGAAAGTTTTTGAAAAACCTTGAAAGTGTGGTTTTGAACTCTATATCCAGTCATTTGCTTTCCTCCATTTCTGTCATTTGTGTCCTGTTTCTTTGTCTCGGCATTTTTTATGCTTCCCTGTGTTGATAAAGTGGTTTTCTGTGCTAAGTGTCCTCTAGTAGTTCAGCCTCCCCAATTACCTGAGGTGGACACTCTTGGTGTACTCCCTTGTGGTCTTTGTGCACAGTCTTGTTGTAGTTAAGCCTTGATTGTTGTAGGTATCACTGGGAGGATTTGACCTCCAGGCCAATTGGCTATGAGAATCAGCTGTGTCTATGGTGGGAGAACTTCTGTGCTGAAGACACCCTTCTGGGGCAAGACTTGCTTCAGTGGGGCTTTAGTGCTCACTGAGTCTGCCCCCTGAGTGTGTCCCTTATGGATCTGCGGAATTATAATTGGGTGGTTCCACTCTGACCACTGGGTACACTGGCTCTTGGATCTAAGGAGGTGCTAATCTAGCCTCTGCTTGAGGCTACCCTGCAGAAGCCAGCTGTAAAGCAATGCAAGTTGCCCTGGGGCCTTGGGCAGCTGCAGTTTGTTAAGTAATTTTCAGATTATAAAGGGCCGGGCCTTTCATATGCAAAAGCCTCCATGCACAGCTTGGGCGGGGCAGAGCCCCAGGGGATCAACTGGGCGGGCTAAGGGAGCAGTATGGCTGCTCT